ACGATAATAAAAGTATATCACAAATGATAATAATTTAAATCTTCATGTCAAACTTGGCAATCTGTAAAAATAAATTTCAAAAAGTGACATTTACTACAATTTCTCTCTTTTTTTTTAATCATTTACCCCTCACTGTATTTTCCTTTTCTTTTAAAAAAAACTTATATAAAATTTAGAATGAATTTTAAAAATTACTTATTAAATTTTATTTTTGATAATTTCACACCTTATTAGACTAAAAAAAAAAAAAAAATTATTTAGACAATCTTAAAAAAAATAAAAAAAATAAAAAAATAATTATGCCCAACTCAGCACTTTTTGAGTTGGATGTTTCGCCTCTACTGTCTCGTTGGATATGCGGTAGCGGTAAAAAAAAAAAAAAAAAATTATGCTCCACACACGCGATAACCTATACAATTACACCCTAAAGTGGCAGATAGTCTCGCCACCGTGGGATGTCAATAATAATAAGAATAATATACTTGATGGTGTCATATTTGACAATTAGGCTTTGTTTGTTTCTGTAAAATAATTTGTATAAAAATATTTTTCATAATTTTTCGTTGTTTGAGGTGTTTAGGAAAATAAGTCAATGAAAATTATTTTTCTGGTCAAAGAAAAATTAAATCATTTTGTAAGGAAAACAACTTTCCCTTTTCAAAAGAGTAAAACATTTTTCGAATATTAACAAATCTTATAAATCCATTTTTTTAATTTATAGAAAATAAGTCATTTGAAAAATATTATTCATTGAAAAATATTTTTCTTCAAGTTATTTTTTTACAAGTTATTTTATGAAAAAAAAACGAAGCATTAATGAAAGATTAATAACAGGCAAATTCACAAGTGTACGAAATCGCAACAAAACGAAGCATTAATGAAAGATTAATAACAGGCAAATTCACAAGTGTACGAAATCGCAACAAATAATAAAGAGTGAATAGAGTATCATTCCCACGAATATTGTATACCAAGTACCAAAATTGTGTTAATCTACTATTATTTAAATGATAATAAAAAGAATTTTTGTAAAATTAAAATAAAATAAATAAGGGAGAAGATTAACTTAAGGAAATTGAGCCAAGTATTTGTAGTAAAGAATTTAAGGGATAAAGGCCAATAGAAAATTTAACTTCACTTAATTTTATCCAATTTATTCTAGTAGTTTAATAATCAATTTTAATCGTGTAAAATAAAATAAATTATCCTATAATCAATAATAAGCTCTCCCGATGTATTGTAGTTATTTTAATTCAATTTGATTACCCATCTCCCAGCAACCAAATACGAATTAAAATTATTAAGTTCTATGATTTTACGAGGAACACAAATTAAATCAGTGAGACCTATTTCATGAAAATCTCTCATGAGTCATTCTATATAGCTTCCGCTTCAGGTTATTCTTCCCATGAAATTTATTACTTTTCTCATATCAAAACTCCTTTTCAGATAGTGATTTTAGAAATAAAAATTAGATGATGATAAGCTTGTGATTGTTTCCTTGAATGTTGAATCTCTAACTTATTTGCTTGAAGTCTTGGGAAAAACGACTTAGAGGCTAGAATAAAAAGATGGAATGATCTCAATTAATAGTCCCTAATTAGTGTAGAGATTTCTTTTTATATAGACTTTTTAGGACTTGTTTGACTCTAATTAATAAAATCACTTAACTTGTCGAGAAAGAAATAGAATTACAAAAACAATTAAGTCTTCTATTTCTCCAAATTGGAAGTCAGCTGATGATTAGGATGGAACTCAAATTAGGTAGCAGCTATGTGATTTCTATTTGTCCTAATTAAAACCGACAAAAGCATTCCAAATCGAGTTCAAGGAAACAAAAATCAAGAATTAAATAAAAACATAAATAAAATTAAATAAAATAATTAAAAATATTAAGATTTTTAATAAAAATTATATTAAAAATAAGCCTATCAATTAAAAGTGAAAGATTAAATTCAAAATTAAAGCAAAATATTAAAATATCTCCTAAAAATGACAAAATCTTTTGTTTAATCAATGACAAACTGAAGAAAAAATATGGGTATAATAAGATACATAAAGTATAGATTCAAAATACAAAAAACATAGCAAATCTAAAACAATTATCCAACGCTGCTTGTGAAGCCAATTAACCTCTCAAGTAATCAACCAAAAACAATTGAAAAATAATAATGAAACTCAAAAAAATAATCAGTCAATTAACCTCTCCTATCTGATCATCTGTTGAACCTAGATCCATAAAAGTAAAAATTTTCTCTTTTTATTTCTCAGAAAACAAACAGAATAAAATTTAAAAAAAAAAAAAAGGAAACAGAACATAAAGTCATCATATCAATTAGAATGAAAAGCTAATTTGTGAAGAAAGATTTTATAAAAACCTTTACCTCTTTGATCAGAATTTTTATTAAAACCAATTCCTAAAGTCATGCGAATTGAGAGAATTGTTGAAATAATTATGACGCTTTATCAAAAATTGTAGAATTTTTGTGTTCCTAAACGAAGAATTGTTGAAATCTTTAAAAGGAAACACGAAGTTTTAGAGAATTGAGAGAAAGAAGAGGGGAGGAGATATTTGAGCTATCACAGAGGAAGAATTGTTAGAGAGAAGAAGGGAAAGAAATTTTCTATGCGAGGAGAGAGAGAAAAATATAAAATTTTAATTACTTTTGGAAGCAAATTTCCATCCTAACCCTTTCTCTAGCACACGTATTCTCAAATGCACGTGTCAACGTGGTAAGTGTGTTACTGTTAAAAAAAATGAAATTTAGGGAGCTACTTCCGAAACTTGAGAGAGCCATAAAATTTTAAAATTTTTTTCGGAAAAGTTCAATAGTAACCTATTAAAGTGTATAATAAGTTATCAATTTGTCGTTCTTCATTGGCACAAGAAAAGAAAAGTATCTTTTCAATTTGACCCATTCATTAAAAAATTATTAAAGAGGACAAAAACAAATATTTATAAATTTAACGGGCTCTACCTAACATTTTGCTAATTTTTCCACTTATTTAAACGAGTAAACAATCTGCAGTGAAAATTATTTTTTTTGTCTCAAAATATAGATTAGTTTAAAATTTTTCACAAAAATTAAGGAAATAATTAACTTTTTAGATTATAATAAAATTAATAATAATTTTGATCAAATTATCATTTATCTCAAAATTAATAGTTACTTGTGAAAATATTTATTGTATTTAATGTAAATAAAAGTAATATTGAAAAAATATTTTTTATTACCCTTTAAAATACTCGAATCAACTTATATTTTGAAATAAAATAATCAGTCAAAAACGACTTACATTTTGAGACAGAGGGAATAATAATTTTTAAAACTAATTAGAAGCAACCAAATCCTTTTCAGAAAATTGACCAAAACTCCATCCGATCCCTCCCAATTTTGGTCCAATTTAGAATCGAAAATTTCAACTGATTCTAATCTTGACCTTTTCTATCAGACTTAAATTAATTTCAATTTAAATTGCACTGGTAGCTATTAGTCCACTACCAAAGGGTTTTAAAAATCCTACTTTGATAATTAACCTAGTCAAAACAAAGGTCAAATGTCAAACATGAAAAATTTAGAGATAAAATTAAACTAAATATAAAAATTATAAATATAATTGAATGTTTTATATATAGAGATGATTTTGGCAAAAGAAATTAATCTTTTTCGTAAAAACTTGTCAATTTTCAAATAGAATAACAAGATTAAAATAAGATGACATTTTTCAAATACCGGTATAAGTTTACCTCTCTTCTTCTTCCTCCCAAGTACCCTATTTTACTCTCTTGACCCCCGCCATTTCTCTTTCTTTTCCGTTCTCTTCGTCATTCTTTTAACTGGTGACTGGCGAAGAGCTATTGTAAATTTGTCACGTTGTCTGACACAAGCAATAATAGAAATTGTCAGAGCTATGAAGTTAAAATATCAAGTCGGATTTGTAAAAAATATTTTAAACTGATGATGGTGAAAGTAGAAGAGAACAATACAGATATTAAAAGAGGTAGAATCTTAACGAGAATAGTGATGGAAGGAATGAAAGAATGCTTAATAACGGAGAGAGAGAGTTAGAAGATAATATTTAATTGACATGGGTTTTGCCTTTTCAATTATTTGTTTAAAAAATCTATCTACCTCACCTCTTAACCGGCTCATGACCGAAAACTAGTAAAAAATACTTTTATATTACTCCAATAATAGTTGAGTGATTTTTAAACGATGAGTTGAAAAGACGCTATGGTCTATAATCCAAGAATGACAAATGAAAATTAACCGTAAAAAGCGAAGTCATTGTCACCTTAATTTATTTTTAAAAGTTATTAGATGGGACAAACATATTTTTTATTCAAATTAACACTCCACTTACTTATCATTCACTTCGCAGGTTCCTATGTTTGGATTAAAAAATGAAAAACATAAAAAATAAAATAAAAATAAAAATTAATTTTTTAAAAATATTTTTTTTATTTAAATAAAAAATAAAAATATTTTTCTACACTAATTGATTGTTTATAATTTTTTATTGTCTACCTTAAAGAGAAATTTTAAATAATATATATATTCGTAATCTTTTTTTAAATATTAAAAATAATCTTTTTGTTTTTGCTTTCCACATGTTCTTGCTTTATCCAAACATAGAAAACCCACTACACACGGGAAACAGAGCCAGCAACTGGTTGCAAAAGTTGACAGTTTGAAATTAAGCATAAAGATGGCCCACAAAGTTTCACCAACTTTCCCTGTTTACCTGAAGTATAAATTGTACGTGCATGTCACATGCAAAATTTGTAAATTCATTCATGCAAAATACATAAACTCGTGAACTCGTTTCTAAAATGATATATATATTTTACGTGCGAAAAGGAAAAAATGATTCCTATGAAAGTTAAAAGAAAAAAAATTAAATCATACACACATAACAAGTAAATTATTTAAAATTAATAATAATCAATTGTGATTTTGTTATGTTTAAAATAATTTTTTAATTTTTGAACAATCTAATTTTCAATATAAAAATTGAACATCAATAAATTGATTAAGAACTTGATTAACTACATTACGTTTAAAATAACTTTTAACTTTTGAACAATCTAATTTCATAAAAAATCAATAAATTGATTAACCAATACCACGCAAGTAGACTCCTCTTTAACCATCGCCAGCCGACCATCAGTAAACCGTGCTATTATAACAAAAGCGGGGACCACTAACGGCGTGACCGACCGTCCTGTCAAGGTCTTGAAACTTAACGAAAGAAAATAGTACCAAAAAGAAAAATGCCGCAACATTGGTCCCATCGATCATCAACCCTAACGGTGAGTTTACGAAGTCATAACAAAATCCTACTATAGACATTTAATACGCCCTCACGTGCCAAATGTCAAACATGCGCTGCCACGTTTGCTCTCTGTTTTCGGTTTGCTCACGTGTTTCAGCCATCCCTTGACGCTTCACACGCCGTGGTCATTGGCCATCTTCAGTTGGACAACTATGCCCCTAGATACACCATTCAATATCCAAAAAGTAGATATACGTATTACTTTAATCATGTAAGTCATCTCTAAACTAAATTATCCAAGTACTATAAATTTTAGCAACAAGACGCAAAAGCAATATATGAAAATTTCTTTCCACAAAATATATGAAAATTTCATTTTTAATAATTTTTTGGCTTGTTTACCGGGAAAGGGAGTTATCAGTTCAAAGAGTCCTATTCTATGTATATATAAATATATAAATAAATAAAAGCTCTGGTCTATGTGTTTGGTTCCTTTTACCTATTTTCTCTCACTTTCACAGGAAAAAGGCTTTCTTGCTTATTTTTCTTGGCCATCAAGTGAGTGAAACAGATCTCCGGCATTGACTCAATCTGACTCTGTTGCCGAAGGAATTTTTTTTTAATATATATATATATATATACTCTAATATTTTCTGTTACATTAGTCTAGCAACAAAGGAGAATAAGGTGGCATTATCTGTGGAGATTACTGAGAGGGAATCTGTTAGGATTTAGTTCTTTCTGCTATTGATATATGTAATACTCAAATTACTTTTTAATTCTTAATTTACTCAAATTTATGGAGAAATTAATCCCCTTACCTGAAGCAGCAATCTGTTTCAGAGATCTGGTAGCTTTGCAAAACTGTTTTTGGAGCATTACAATAGCATTTTAAGGAATTGGAGAAAAACTGGGTATTGTTCTGTTTTTTCACCAAGAATTGGGCTCTGTTCCTCTGCTTCTTCTTTTTTTTTTTTTTTTTTTTTTTTTTTTTTTTCACCAAGAATTGGCGCTCTGTTCCTCTGCTTCTTCTTTTTTTTTTTTTTTTTTTTTTGGGTTTCTGTACTGATTTCCGTTCTCAGTTTCTTTCTGCAGGAAGTTTTTAAATAAAATGGGGTTAGAGGAGGAGGATTTTCCTGGGAAAATAACTATAAATCTCGAATTAATCATTAGAAGATTAGGACAGTATTGGTTTAGTTTTTTTTTTTTTTTTTTTTTTTTTTGGGTTTCTGTACTGATTCCGTCTCAGTTTCTTTCTGCAGGAAGTTAAATAAAATGGGGTTAGAGGAGGAGGATTTTCCTGGAAAATAACTATAAATCTCGAAATAATCATTAGAAGATTAGACAGTATTGGTTTAAGAAGAGCTGGGATAGGAGCTTTGAGATTTTTTTACCAGTTAGCCGAGCCCAGAAATGGATGAAGGGAGAGAGAAGCAAAACGAGTGTCAAGTTGAGAATTCGTGGATTCCAAAAACTCCTCTTAAGCATAACATAGGAACATCACAAGTGATCTACACAAACAGGCAACTGGAGCAGCAAGTAAATGGGTTGGGATCAAAGGGGCTTTCTCAAAAAATTAGTAATGGAACATTGGGTGCATGTTTAGATTCTATGGATGACAACTGGGAAGCAGCTTTAGGAAGAAAGAGCATTACCTGTGACCCTTACGAAACATGCAGAGAATTTCCCACCGACGGCTCAGCAACATGGAACTTTACATCCCTTTTGGCTCTCCAAGATCAGGCATCAAGAGAATCCACAAGTTCAGCATCACACCGCCCATGGCTAAATGCCAAATACAGACTGGAATCCCAGTGTAAGCATAATCGGCTTTTATTCACTGCAACCACCACACACAAGTTCGTTCGATTAGTTCACTGTTCAAAAAAATCTAATTACTTTAGTAGTAGTTCTAGTGTCTAGCAACAAATTAGATCAGAATGGCAGTAGAAACTAGCTTTAACACCATATGCCTTATAGCATATAGTTCCCTTGCATTTTGATTAAAAAATAATGATAATAATAATAATAATAATAATAATAATAATAAAACAAAATTTCATTCTCTTGATTCATTGGTGTAAAAAATAAACTAGTATTGTCATCAATTTTCCAGGCATTGCCAAGATAAGCTTTGAGTTCCATAGTTTTTTATTCCTGATTCATCTGACATTTACACTACCCTTTGCAGTTGAACTTGCCTACGACCTCAACTTAACTCCCGGAGAAACAGCAGATTCATTCTCTAGTAAGGCCTGCTCGCAAATGTTTCCAGTAACACCAGATAAGGCTGCAAGAGTAGAAGGCGAACAAGTCCCTCAAATGCAATACTTATGCACAGATGAAAGAGCAAGTCAGGAAAGAAATGAGCTGGAGAATGGAATTGCTAGTACAGCAGTTGACACCGATAAGCTCCAAAAGTCAGCAAAAGATTCATCGCGTGCTGCTGTTTGTGAATTAGTCAATGAGAATCATAGTCCTGGCAAGGATGGTAGCCATGCTATTAGCTTGAGTGAAACGCCACAGCTTGAAACACCGCAACAGAAACCTAGGAGGAGAAAGCACAGGCCAAAAGTAATCACAGAAGGCAAACCTAGGCCTCGAAAACCAGTGACACCAAAGCCTGCTCTTAACACTGAAAGCCCAACTGGTAAGAGGAAGTATGTGAGAAAGAAACCAGTCAACGATACCCAAACAACCCCTCCATCAGAATCTACAGGTACCCCAACGGGGAAGAGGAAGTATGTGCGAAAGAAACCTCTGAACAAGGACTCAACAAATTCCCCAGTAGAAGCAACTGGAGAGACTACTGATCCAGTACTTGAGCCTGCTAACAAGTCATGCAGAAGGTCATTAAATTTTGATATTGAAGAACAACCTCGTGATGACAGCTCCAAATGTAAGCCAAATTCTAATGGAGATTCTCAACCACAAGCACAAGATGTTAGTAGAGGAAATCAACCAAAATCAACTGTGGCTATTGGGCGAGGAATTGAAGTGATGGTGGAAACCACGCAAACAGGCATTGCATATGATCTCACTCGTTCTGTGAATCAAATGCTTAAAGATTACATCTCATTGCCTGAAAAGCAAATACCAACACTACCACTTCCAGCAAAGACTTACCCCCTAAGGAGTAAACAGAATGATAATTCCCAAAGGAGAGATGCCAAAGCAGAAGATCCAGTGACTGCCCATAGTGTACAGCAGAACACTACAAAGATCATGTTGCAAGCTGACACTCAATTGCCACCAGTAAACCCCAATATCTCCAACTGCAGCAACTCCACAACCTTGGCAGAGGAAGCACAAGCAAATGGATCAAAGAGAAAGCTCTACAGTTTCATCCAACAGCCCGATACCTGCAGCACAAATTTAACTGGGATTCAACACAATGCTTTATCTTCATATCAGAAAATGCCTGCAGTACTCTTTCCAAGCATTTTCAAGAAAAAGAGGACTGAGAAGGGACAAAATTCAACAACATCCAGCACGTCCAGTGTGACAGCTGCAAAAGACATAGTGAGACAAGAAATAACATGCCCGCAAAGAGATGCCAAAGGAAATCCTTCTATATCAGAAGTTAATGGCTTGACTTCTGCTCCTTATTTCAATGCTAATGGACACCTTCAGCATAAGCTACAACCTTCTAGTTCCGACTTCTGTCAAATAGAGAGGTCAAGAAAAAAGAGATCCAGAGGTCCTACTCGGGCTCGAGACTTGGCTTCACTGACCAAAATTGTAAGGGGCGAAATATCAAATTTTGCTTCGACACAGGTACCATTAGATTCTAATGTGCTGCAGGTTGGGGGCTCCAACAGCTCTCATGCATGTATAGAAGCTCTAGTTGCAGGTATGCGTGGAACATTGACAACAAAGAAGCGAACCAAGAAGAGAGTCTCTCTTGTTAATTCTGTGTCATCCAGTACAAACTGGGAGCAATCCCAAGGAAAAATCATCTTATACAATCAGAACCAATTCTCAGCCAAGTCATTAGGTACTTCGAGCAAGAACTAACTTCAATTTTTTAATTAGGGAAAAAATTAAGAATTATGTTTTCATAGATAAAATATTTTCATATTTTTGAGGAATCTAACTATTCTATCAAGTTCTTTTCTCATTCACAGCCATTTGATGCAGGTGCTCCTGCAGAAGCAATATGGGAACAGATGTTTTCTATTGATGCAATAGCTGAACAATTACAGCATCTGGACATCAGTAGGGAAAGTAGTAGAATCGTGCGTAAAGAACAGAATGCACTTGTTCCTTATGTTATAGAAAATAACCAACAGAGTGCACTGGTACTTTATAGAAGAGCTGGCACTATTGTACCATTTACTGCATTTGAACCCATCAAAAAACGACACCCCCGGCCTAAGGTTGACCTTGATGAAGAAACAAACAGAGTATGGAAACTTTTGCTGGGAAACATAAATAGCGAAGGCATTGATGGAACCGATGAAGAGAAGATAAAGTGGTGGGAAGAAGAACGAGAAGTTTTCCGAGGCCGCGTAAACTCATTTATAGCACGGATGCATCTTGTACAAGGTACCGATTCAGTTTTCTAAATTTTCTTTTGTCAAACTTGGGAGATATTAATAGTGAAGTACTAGTCTAGGAAAGCGTAGGTTGTGTGAAATGAGGGCTTAATGTCATCAATTTATAAGCAAAGTCTATTAATGATGGCATGAATATATCATCATTGAGAGGCTTTCTACATGAACAACAAAGCATGGGCTGTCTGGACCTCTTATGATATATGCAAAGTGTCTCAATAATGATACAAACAGGCCACTGCTAATTTTCAACCATTGAAGGTAGGTAAAACTAAAGAAAAATTCACTGCAATCAAACTGCATTAATCAGGATTAATTGGTCCATCAGAGATTTGGACAGCTTTGGTGGACCTTCAGTGACAAAAGAACTGAGGGCCTTAAAAATGCACTCAATTTGGAAATTTAAAATACATCATGTAGCTGTTATGTAATCAATATGGCATAATAGCACTATTAGACAGCCAAAATAGCATATAGTCCATTAGCAAGGAAGAAATCTTATTAAAACTTAAGGAAGTGTAGGGCATATAGCAGCTGAAAGGTTAGGTATAGTGAAATCTCCAACAATTTAGACCTTCCGCATGTAAGCATCTCAACAAGAAATTCAATGACACTTTCATTTATCACAGAGCTTCTCCCTCTAACATTTCACCCACCGACCGAGTAAATGGTTGAACTCTCCTCCAACATTTAATCCACTGATTAAGATGGTATGGTTATTTCTGCAGGGGACCGACGCTTCTCTCCATGGAAGGGATCAGTTGTGGACTCAGTGGTTGGAGTATTTCTTACTCAAAATGTTTCTGACCATCTTTCAAGGTAAAAATGAGTTTCCTAGGTAATTCTATTACCGTATGCAAGTAGAGACAGGAGCAAGAGTAGAAACTTACCTTTTCATTTTTTCTGCAGTTCTGCATTTATGTCAATGGCTGCACGTTTTCCCCTCAAATCGAAGAGCAATAACAGACCAAGCTATGAGGAAGGGACAAGCTCAATAATTGAGAAACCACCAATAGTGTGCATGCCAGATTTAGAAGATGCCATAAAATGGAATGAGGTTCCAAATCAATCAATTTGTGACCAAAGTTCTATGAACCTCCATGACTTTGAGCTTGATGAAGAAAGAGAGGTAGTCAACAGCAATGAATCCTCTACAAGCAGTATTGGAATTGTTAGCTCCAGATGTGGTCTGGAAACATGCTACGAATCAAGATCAACCACAGAGATCACCAAGTCAGTAGATACTCGTTATATTGGAGACATGAGAAGAGCAACAAATGATGCACTCTCATCTCAAAATTCTGTGGTTTCATCTCAAAACTCTGTGGACTCAACAAGTGCTCAAACTGCTGAAAGAAAAGAAGCAATCTCCGGAAACAACTCAGAAGCAGATCCAGTTGATGGGTGCAAGTTCAACTCTTTAGCGAGCTCTAGTTCTTTTATGGAGCTTTTAATAAAAGCTGGTTCCAACAAGCTACATGAAGTTTACAGTCCTGGCAATGGCATGGTCTTATTTGATCAGAACTCAAAATATGAGTTCAACAAAACCCAGAATGTGGGAAATGACTTCCACATGGAAAACACATACAATGTAGATAGTTCTAAAATCTCCTTGGATGGGCCTGTGACCCCATCCAATAACTGTCATTCACATCCTATCTCTAACTTGGGAGTTTTGGCGGATGAGTGCTTTAAGATCATTACTGAGGAAACAGGGTGTTACAAAATATCCAAGAGCAACAGCAGAAACGATATGAAAGAACTAAGTTCCTTTGCAGAAGAATCCGCCAGTCAAATTACAGATGAAAACAATCTGACCATGACAGCTCAGGAAGCACCAAGATCTCCAACTGCAAATGGCCCTTTTTGCAGCGAGATTCAAGAAGATATGCATTTGACTACCCAGACTCAAAGTGGGCTTGTTGGAGACGTTAACATTGTCAGATCACTGACTCAGGTAGAAAACAATGAAATGCAGCAAAACTTCTACTTGCCAAATCTGTCAAGAGAAACCCTGAGTATTGTGGAAAGTATTAACAAGAAAGAAAAGAATTCACAGAAAACAGCGGAATCAAACTTGATTGAGCATGGATTTTCAGAAATTAAAGAGCTTAATGAGAAGAATGCTGCTGCTACCAGGAAAGCAAAAAGCAGAAGGGTTGGAAAGGAGATAAGAGCTGATGTTGACTGGGATGAGTTGAGAAAACAGGCAGAAGCAGATGGGAGGAAAAGAGAGAGAATACCGAACACAATGGACTCGTTGGACTGGGAAGCTGTACGATGTGCAGAAGTTCATGAAATTGCAAAAACAATCAAAGAGCGTGGAATGAACAACATGCTTGCAGAACGAATAAAGGTACATGTACTACATCTCAGAAAAAGATTTTGTGATGTTTGTTTTACTCACCAAATATATGGCCTTTGGGATCAGTTGACATTAACCAATATATATCATCCAGGATTTCCTTAATCGATTGGTAAGAGAACATGGAAGCATTGATCTGGAATGGTTGAGAGATATTCCTCCTGACAAAGCAAAGTAAGCCCAAAACTTTAGTTCTTGAATGGATTAGTATAACGCAGCAGTTAGCATATCACCATGGCATCCCTGTTTTGCTGGAGATATCATATTGTGAATTTCTTATTTGATCTACTGAAATATGTAGTATATATATATATTAAAACCGAATTTGCTCTTGTAGAGAGTATCTGCTAAGCATAAGGGGATTGGGACTGAAAAGTGTGGAGTGCGTACGGCTTCTGACACTACACCATCTTGCTTTTCCTGTAAGTTATAACTAGTTTAACATGTGCCAGAAGTAATGGAAAATGTCTCAACTTTCATCATTGTATAACAGGTTGACACAAATGTTGGACGCATAGCTGTGAGATTGGGCTGGGTACCCCTTCAGCCACTGCCTGAATCACTTCAGTTGCACCTGCTAGAGCTGTTAGTATTATGAACTAAAAGAATCCTAATGCAAACATGTAGTACGACACATTACTAATGTTGTACCCATAATATAGGTACCCGGTGCTGGAATCAATTCAAAAATATCTTTGGCCCCGGTTGTGCAAACTTGACCAAAGAACATTGTAAAGACAAATTCTACTCAATGTTAACACCTTGATTCATGAATGCAACTAACATACAAATTTTCAGGTTATTCTTAAATAAAATTGTTTACTAATCCATTGCAGAATCAATTAACAGGTATGAGCTACACTACCAGATGATCACATTTGGAAAGGTGCAGTTTACTTTAAACCTGAAACTATATGTTCACTTTTCTGATTAATGAGAAGCAGAAGTTAAGAAGGGAAGCTTTTTGAGAGTTATGCAGGTATTCTGCACCAAAAGCAAACCCAATTGCAATGCATGTCCAATGAGAGGAGAATGCAGACATTTCGCAAGTGCATTTGCAAGGTCTGTAAATAATCTTCCAGTTCTTACTATTTACATTGATGTACTGTTAGGATGGCCACAAATGCAGGATGTACTTCTAGACGACTGCCACAATCTAGAACAAGTTTTTAGATGTTCCTTGTAGCATGTAAAAACTAAGGTGAACTATTGAAACCTGGATCAACTATATAACAGAATTTTAGTCTAGGTATAAGAATCTTGTTGTAATTAAGGAAACCAGTTATGGTTGGAATTTTCACACTTAAGTATCATGAATAACATATGGAAAAAATCAACTTAATTATTTTCATTGAGCAAACACCATGATTGCATTATGGTCTCAAAACCTTCATCAAATCATTCCCTCGAAATGTGTAAAAGCAAGATTTGTTATGTCAATTTACACATGGACCATGTTGACTGCAGTGCAAGACTTGCCCTGCCTGGGCCAGAGGAAAAAGGTATAGTGAGTGCAACAGAAAACAGAACAAATGAGCAAAACCCTGCTACAATGGTTGATCAACAGCTACTTCTTCCACCCCAGGAAACTGAACAATCAGTTCAAAATCAGCTGTCACAATCAAACTGGCAATCAGAAGCAAGATATGGAGTCAGTTATTGTGAACCAATTGTTGAAGAGCCATCGTCACCAGAACCAGAACGCAAACAAATAACAGAAAATGATATGGAGGACACCTTCTGTGAGGATCCTGATGAGATTCCTACAATCAAACTTAATATTGAAGAGTTCACTCAGAATTTGCAGAACTATATGCAAAACAATATGGAACTTCAAGAAGGTGACATGTCAAAGGCATTAGTTGCTTTGACAGCAGAAGCTGCTTCTATTCCTACACCCAAGCTCAAGAATGTGAGTCGACTACGAACAGAGCACCAAGTGTAAGTATCTCTGTCCCTTATTAAAACTGTTCTATGAAAGAATTAGTACTAATAGTTCTAAATGGTCAACACTCAATTGAATTAGTCATATTAAAAAGTAAATGTGTTTCAAAAAACTTTACCACCGATAGCTAGAAGATATTTCAAAAACTAGTTGCACCTATAACACTATCTATAGACAAAGCAAGAATAGCAAACCAACCTGCCAAAGAATAGCATGATAATTATTAATTATAGACTAAAAATCTCCACAAAATTGTTTTCATTTCTTCCTGATTATGCTAACAGGAAAAAAGCTTGAGTTACACTAATCTTTTTCTCCTTTCACCACATGCAGATATGAACTTCCGGATTCCCACCCTCTCCTGCAAGGGGTTAGTTGATTCTGTATCCACCTAAACAAGGATGTTATTTGAGTCCATTAACCAAATTTGTCTTGATGAATGTCTTTTGCTTCTAATTCAGTTGTATAGGCGAGAACCTGATGACCCGTGCTCATACCTGCTCGCTATATGGACACCGGGTAAGTGCACATAGAACTATGATAAATTCCTTTCTGCACAATTAGGACCATAGCTCAAGCCATTCAAACCTTTGGACTTGACGCAGACTGAAAAACCTAGCTATGTAGACTCAACAATCAAACAAGCTAAGGCAGAGCCTACCAATTCAACTTTTAAAATATTACACACACTCACAGGGATTGAGAGAACATTCTAAGCCTTGCAGTGCTTAGTTTGAAACCTAGAAGCATAACTAGCAACTTAGTCATCTGCTAAGTAATCAAAGGGAAATTGTGATTTAGAGCCATAAAATGCTTAGATGCTCCCATTACGTGTGTTAAAAGGAGAGAAGGAAAGAAATAGGTGTGTGTGTGTGTGTTTGGGAAGTAATCAAAGGGAAATTGTTGATTTAGACCATTAAAACTTAGATCTCCCATTACGTGTGTTAAGGAAGAGAAGGAAAGAAATAGGTGTTGTGTGTGTGTGTTTGGGGGGGGGGGGATGGGGTGGGGGAGGGAGATATTAAAAAATCTAAATACAGATTATCTATTTCTTCTGTGCTATGGGGGGATGGGGGTGGGGGAGGGAGATATAAAAATCTAAATACAGATTATCTATTCTTCTGTTGCTATCTTCTTTAAACAATCATCAGTATTTTCAGGATGGATGATGGATGCAAGATCATCACAAAAGCTAACTCACAAAATTTATTCAACCAATGCTGAAGTGACTTTAGGACTTGTTTCAGTTTCATTAGCACTCAATGGCCTGCTGAAATCAGTCCAATTAGCTATTATTTCTTTTTCAAAAGTGCGAAAAAAAAAATCCTAAGTTGAAAAGAAGTCAAAGAAGAGGACAGTAAGAAGCATCCAACACGGCCTGTCCTCTTTGTGCCTTGGAACTTTTCAACTAGAGCCAAAGTCCTGTTAATTTATGGGTCTCTGCCTATATGGATTCCCCATTAAGTTCCCTTCTTTTTCACTAGTTCCAAGAAGGTAATAGGCAAGGTATTGCCAATCCAATGTACAGAGACCAAAAAGTTGCAGCTTTCACTTATTTTAAGCTAATTTGCACCACTATACATAGGAAGTTGCAATTATGTTAATTCATGCAATGACTTCCAATGTGTTAGTAAATTTCTTATAAAATGCTCTCGTTAGGTGAAACGGCAAACTCCATTCAACCACCTGAAAGCAGGTGCAACGCCCAAGAATATGGAAAACTGTGTGATGAGAAGACATGTTTTTCTTGCAACGGTGTACGGGAAGCAAATTCACAAATTGTTCGGGGAACTCTTTTGGTGAGAATATTTATGAGAAAGTTTCATTATGGTCTTGTATGAATCTTACAATTGATGGAATCCGTTTTACTCAATCATTAACAACACATCATTAACAGATACCATGTCGAACGGCAATGAGAGGGAGCTTTCCCCTGAATGGCACATATTTTCAAGTTAACGAGGTAAATTCACTCCAAAAAGCTTATTAGACTTCTGCCTGTGAGCTACAGCATTTTCTTTTAACTCTGACCTACATTCTAAGCAGGTATTTGCCGACCATGATTCTAGCCTGGATCCAATTGATGTTCCTAGATCTTGGATATGGAATCTACCGAGACGAACTGTATACTTTGGGACATCCATACCGACGATTTTCAAAGGTGAAATCTCTAACTACGTTGTAATCCAAGAAAATGCAGTCGTACACTAGCACTCAAATTCTATTTTTGGTCTTATCAGGTTTGACAACAGAAGGTATTCAACACTGTTTCTGGAGAGGTAAGAGATAATGTCAATTCTCTACTTTTATACCATCTTATTATCTTTGATTTGAAAGCTTAGTTACTAGTACTGCATACATGAAAGCAGCAAAACGTCACAACATGTGGTAGCACTAGCACACGATTATTTAAATTCAATTGCATGATATACTTCACTACTCTAGTGCATTTCTCTTGAATATTATCCAGCACAAATGCTTAACATATCAAACTTGAAGACCTAAGGAACACTGGATGTTAGCCTCATTTTAGGCCTCAAAATCTTTCCGATTCACCAAAATACATATATACACACATATGTGTGAGTGATGGAAAAATTTTATGATACTTGTAGTTAACATATTTTCAATCTACTAACCTTTTTGCAGCTGACATCTCATGACTTGACACTAATATTATCTATTGGGTGATATTTTCAATATGTCTAATTCGTATATTTGGTTATTCCCAATCTCCCACCTCTATTTGCATCAAACTCAATAAAGCCCAATAAGGCACCACTAATTCCGTCATCCTAAAAACACCGTCCAGATATAGTTCCCTGTAAAAGGGACATAAAATATCAGCATGTGGAGTATGCAGCCTTTTAGAAGATTGCTAGGAGCAACCCAAATGGATTTTTGCTTGAAACAAAAAAATACCAACCTAACATGTTGACATTTCTGTTCTAAACTAATGAGGATTAAGAACAAGAAAAAATTAAGTAAAAAGCATCCTAGATCACTGACAAGTGACAGCATCTACATTTCAATTCTATCTTATATAGCAGAACAGTGTCTAAACCTGTATGTGCATGCATGCTAGCCCCAGTGTATTTTCATGTGGAGAGGGGAGACAGCAAGCATGATTACAGTAGAATTAAAATAGAAACTTAATATGCAAGCCGCAAAGCAACTTCGTCTCTCCTATACAGTTCCCTCCAATTTTAATTCATTTGGCCAATATGCTGACGAGTACATTACAATAACCTTTATGGAAAACTAGACAAAATTAATGATAAGATATACATGTTAGTTATAGTTTCCTGTAGATATACACGACTGAAAGTTTTAAAAATCTGTCTTTTATTAAAAATGATAGTTATCTTTTTTTCCTGGTTAAACTTGATTTATAAGTGCCTATGCGACATAAACTTGAAAGGCATTTCTTAATTGTGCATACTCTTGAATTGCAGGATATGTTTGTGTGAGAGGATTCGACCAGAAAACAAGGGCACCTCGTCCTCTAATGGCCAGGCTGCATTTTCCAGCCAGCAAGTTAAAACAGAATAGAGGCAGGGATTCAAATGATTAGAATACAACGCCAACCAATAATCAACAATATTTCCAGAGTAGATGACATGTTTGGATAACAATAACCCGTAGCATCACATCTACATTCGACCAATGTAACTTGTTTCTCATAGTAACTTGTACGATCCCATGATGTATGAGCATGTAGCGTGTACATGGTTAACAAAGTTGTAATTTTATCAATTTTCTTAATGTTATGCTCGTATTTGAGCCATTCTTCTGAAACAAGTCACTATTTCGAACTCTACTATCTCAAGATAATCCACAAACTAGCTAATCTGGCAATAAAATGGGATATAAGGTCATTCAGATAAAGTGACTAAACCACAAATCAAAGTTTCACAGTTCAATCAGTTTCTCCATTTCACTAACAGTAAACACAATCTAAATATCAACGAACTCCTAATGTTCGATGAAGCTCAAAATGCGTTATTATAATTAAAAATTGCATAATCAACCACCAATGCGACTTAATCAAAGAGGAATTCAAGTTTCTTGATAAGAAGCAATTCAAACAACTGAATACAGATACAGTTAGAGGTATAATTTAGCGAATCCAACATTTTCAATCGAAGGAGACCATTGATATGAAATTGATGGCATAATGGAACAGAATAGGCAACAGAGAACAAAAACAGCAACTCAAATTTTCATAGAAAATCAAATCGTAGTGAAGGTAAGATTTTTAAGATCGATAAACGTACCTTTCGATTCGGCGAGGGAGACTGAGAGTGCGAGAAGGGAGAGGTTTTGGTGAAATTAATGCTTCTGCCGCCTTAGCGCCTTTTACATCTTTTTCTTTCCCTCCCAATTAGGATGGTTTTATGTTTGAAATACGCGCCACACGTGGCGACAGACTTGATACTGAATTTAGTGGGCTGGGCTGTAAGTAAATAAATAAATCTAACACGGCTTTTTATTTTGGAGATTATAAATGTGTTCTCGTACAATATCAAAATTAATAATTTTATCTCATTTCTTTTGAATAATACATTACATTATCCCATTATTTTACTCCCGTTGTACTATAATACACTCCTCTCCAACTTAGTCATTTTGGACGTCAAATGGAAAGGAAAAGACAAAAGCCCTTGTGCAATTATAAAAAAGAAAAGTGAAGATTTTGTTTCTAGGCCTCCTTGATCGTTGTCGTTTATGCCACCTCCTTGATCAATCTGATCATTGAAAGCTCTACGAATTCTTGCACGAGCATTAGGTTATGTTCTTGATAAAGCAACGAGTTTTGACATTAGAAGAGATGAAGCTTATCATAATCTTATTTCTCTTTGTTTGTTGTTTCGTTGCTGAGAAATGCAAGGAAGATGAAAGTAAATTATTTCGTCTATTCAAATCTCTTTATTTGACAAGATGAAAGGAAATTATTTCGTCTATTCAAATCTCTTTATTGACTTGTGACTTCTATTTATAGGTTTTCTTTTTTGCTTGCATTGACTTTATTTCTTTTTCCTCTAATTATTTCGTCTATTCAAATCTCTTTATTGACTTGTGACTTCTATTTATAGGTTTTCTTTTTTGCTTGCATTGACTTTATTTCTTTTTCCTCTTTCGATTTTCCTTTTCTAGTTTCTGTTTGATTTTACTTCAATTATAATAGTTAATATTAGGGGTGTGCACTGCTGGATGGGACTGTGGGAATCCTGATCCTTTTCCGAAAACCATCCCGAATTTCTCATCTTGAGAAAATCCTAATATTAATTTAATATTATGTCCAGAATCACATTTTGAAAATAATTATGAGATGAAATTAGTTCTTTGATTATAACCGACTCATACTGATTTATGTTCTGTCCGATCCCATCTCGTTCCATCTTGAAAATTAGGATTTCCTGTCCATTTTTTCTTTAAAATTCTAGTTGTCTTTTTTATTAATTTCAAAATATGTCCATAAAAATCATTTCATCCTTTTTATTTTAGTTTTTTATGATGTCAATTACTGCTAAAGTAATAATAATACGAAAAATAATAAGCATCTTTTAAATATAAAATAAATCAAGTAATTAAACATATTTTTCAATAAAGATTTTTTCTCTCTTATTCCACATTATGTGTTAAGTAAATCTTTTTAAATAAATTTTGTATATTAAATAAAAAATGAAAAGATTAATTAATACAAGAGAAAATATTAACTTTAATTAATTTGATTGCCGGATTATTGATTATACTTAATGCTATCATTATTTATTTTTCAGATGATATTTAGGATTAAATTAAGTATTAAATTGAAATTAACTTAAAGACAAAGCGACAAAAATAATGATGAGTTAAAATTTATAAAATACATGTAAAGTTAAATTATATATTGTTTTGCATTATTTTATTTTATTATATTTAATACTTTTATTATCTAGAAAATAATTACTTAAAAATATTCTATTATAACTTTAGTAGTAGATCATCAATTATTGAATTAATTATTTAATTTATTCTCTTTTTTAACTCAAACTTATATAAATAAATTTTATTTGATTGTAATTTGAATATAGTACTTTTTTTTATGAAAATAATTTAATAAGACTAAAAAATCCTGATTGATTCTGACCTAACACATTTCGTCATATGCCCATTGACTCGAATTTTTGGTCGTCCCGTCGCAAAAAATGGGATGGGATGAGATAGGACTACAAATCTATTAGAACTTCATTTTTTATGTCTCGATATTTTGGGATGGGACTGAAAATTATGTTATTCTCATCCCAACCCGACTTATGCATACTCTTAGTTAATATTAAAATAGAAATTGGCTGGGTTTTAATTAAAAACTAAAACATCAATAATTAAAAACGGAAAGGAAAAAATAATTTTGAAAAGTGAAGGAAAATTAACGGAGATGATCAAATCAAGATAGAAAACTCAGCCACAAGAAAGAGCGGATATAAGAGAAAGAGATAGAAGAATATGAGAGTAAGTTAGAAATAAGGAATTCTTATTTTTATATTGACTAACAGTTTATAGGTTAAAATATCTACAGAAGGACAAAAAAGTTGAATGGGATAAATACGTAGAAATAAGATAGTATATTTTCTAAAAAGTAAAGACAAATTAGTTATTTTTGGCATTCTATGAGAACATCATTATAGTTTTTCCTTTTATTTTTTTTCTTTTTAAAATGATAAAATCATTTATAAAATTTTATATTATTTATCATTTATATCATTATTATTACATATACTAGTGTTCAAGAACGATGCTGAAACGATCCGAAAATTTAATTTCGTAAAATATTCATTTAAAAACTAAATTTTTATTCCAACTAATGAAATTCAACGGAAAATATTTTATTATTGCTAAACCAGACATGTAAACCAGTTTGAATTTTCTGAAAACCAAGTGAAAAACCCGTAAACCACGCAAAAAACAAGCCAAATCATTGAATTAAGCCAAATCAGCTCAAATCGAACCAAAATTAGCCCAAAAAGCTCTAGAAGACCCTAGACTATTGAAAAATTATCTTTTGGCCCCATTCTTTCTCTCCTCTCTTGGGTTTGTCCTCCCCGTCGCGCGACAGCCCCACCCCCTCCCTTTCTTTCGTTTTCAGGCCACCGGCCATGAAATCCAATAACCAAGCATTCCAACCTCATCTTCACAATGAGAGGAACTCGTCTGTGATCTTGATTTGCGAGGTAGAAGCCTGAAACGAGAGAGAACACGACTGGAACTCGAGCGATGTTGTGTGATGAAGTTTCTGGCGATCCACACTGTTTCCGGCGGTTGCAGCGTGAAGGGGGGTGCCGATCGCTTCATCTCCTCCATGAGATTGTTTCTCCCCTATCAATTCCGGCGAAGAAGCTCAGATGATGGAACCGCCATGGAATGCAATGGAGAAGCCACTTTCGAGGCCATTTTTGGCCAAATAAGGCATATCCAGTCCAAGTTGGTCGCGGATCTAGAGCCCCCATGAGATTTCAAGCATTTTGGTATATATGTTGTAAAATTCTAGCCAAAAATTGCTTTTTCAACCATCATGCACTGTGAATACTCAAATTTTGAGGCTCAAAGAGCCTATTTTCCCGGACTGCAAACAGTCCGGCTTGACCGGAGGCCGTTCGGAAAAGTTCACCGAAAGTGAAAACTCCCGGAAAGCTTTTTGAACGAGGGTTATATGTGTTGCCGCCGGTGGGGTCCAACACCCTGGGGGCGTCGGCCGCCCTGTCCTCTGTGGTCCCAATATCCCTCTATGCCGCTATCTATAAATACAGCCTGGCACTCCGTTGTACTTCTTAGTTTCGACGCTCCTTCCTACGCTCTTGGCGATTCTTTACTGCTTTTCTGCATTTAGTATAGGGTTTTATGATGTTTTTCTGTTTACATTGATCACTTAAAAAAATCGATATATATTATATTTCCTCTAATCTAGGAGCTTTAATCCGGAGTTTTCAATGAAGTCTAATAACCCCCGTAAACGGGTAAGAACTAAAACTCTCTCCAATAATCTTCTGCATATTTCTCTTCTAACTCCTAATACAACCCCACACATAATCATTTGCATAACGCCTTATATAATTAAGTTTAGGCTAAAATGCCCGTTAATCAATACTTATTCATGCCAAATACCCGACAATCAATCAGTTAAATTAATAGGTATGATATAATTCGCCTTTTACGAACAGTCCGGCCTAAGTCAATTAATTCAATAATTTTGGGCTAAATAAGGCCTTAATTAAACCAATTTTTGCAATTAAATTGCTTATATTGTAATTCAATTATTGACCCTTATAAGTAGGACAAAAAAATCGCTTAAATCGGAATTTTGGCAAAATGGTTGGCAACAAATTCTTTTGGCTAAAAGCCTTAAATCAATCAATTTTGGCGACAATCGCCCAATCAATACCTTTTGGCAAACAAATTGCCTCAATCAACTCATTTTGGCTAAAAGCCTTCAAATAATCACTTTTGACAAACCAATTGCCTAAATCAATCTTTTTGGCTAAAAGCCTTAAATCAACACTTTTAGCAACAAACGCCTAATCAAATCAATTAATTCTTTTGGCAAAATGCCTAAACAAAAATGCACGAAGCATACACACACTCATGCATTAAGCATGCCCATTCTAAGCCCTTTAAAAAAGGCCTATCGAACTACGTCGACTTTGATCTTCTATTCAAACGGAAGTACGTAGGCACGTTTGGGATTTAACCTCACCCCTTTTTTTTGGATTTTTTTTTTTCTTTTTTTTCCCAAAATTTTTTTTTTTCCCCCCAAAAAAACG